TTGCGGGGCCCAGCGCCGGGCCGAGGTGCTCCAGCCTCTCCACTCCTGCTCTGGCCGTCTCGAAGGGTGCGGGGAGGAAAAGCACCGGGGCTGCAAGCGCCCGTTACCTGACGCTCATGATGTTGCCCTCGGGGTGCTTCTGCAGGTAGGCCTTCACCACCCAGGCCGTGTGCTCGCGGTAGGTCATCACGCGGCTGCGGAGCAAGCAGAGCACAGAGGTTTCATGGGATGAGGAAGAGGAGGAGGAGGAGGATGGGGGAGCACCCCGCGCGCCCTGGAGAGGGGGGCCAAGCTGGCCACCCGGGAGAGGGGCAGGAGAGGATGGATTCTGCCCCCGAGCTTGGGGATGTGGCTTTCTAAAGGTCGCGCTCCCTGCCAGCCCCGAGTATCTTAGGGAGCACCACGAAGGCCAGGAAAGCACCCACTGAAACGCTGATGTTTTCCCAGGAAGACGCTTCAGCCCCTGACACCAGGGTGGAAACTGCAAACTTCCTCGTGGCTCTGGGGCGCGCGGGGGGGAGGCAGGGCCCGCGGGCAGCGCCGTTACCATTCGCTCAGCGCCATCCTCCTGTCGAAGACGCGGATGGAGCCGTCGCCCAGGCCGGCCACGATGAGCGAGCGGTGCGAGTCGCACGAGAGGCTGGTCACGCAGCTGTCAGCGCCCGTGGGGATGTCCAGCACACGGCGAGCTTAGGGGGGCACCCGGCGGCAGCCCCGTCCCCGTCCCTGCCCCTGCGCAGCCATTCCCCATGAAGGCCTGGGCTCCAGGGGGGCCCTACGTTTCTCCTCAACTCCCAGTCCCAGCAAATAAGTGCTAGCAAAGATGGGCTTCTGCAAATCGCTCAAGGTGAGGCCTGTTGTAAAAATACCTAATTGGTTAAAATAAATGCCCAGGGGAATTGTTTCTCCATAAAACGTCTTTGCTGGGTGCAAGCTGCAAATGCTGCCGGAGTGGCAAGATAAGCAGTAGACATCTGGAAGAGACAAGCCACGGAAGGGAGCAAAAGCCGTGTACATAAATGCACACGCAGTCAAACAGAGTATGTCACGAGCAGTGCTGCCTATGCAGAATTCTGCTGAAGGAAAAGGCTGCAAGGTATTCACTCTTTTTGTGCATTGATTGAACATCCAAACAAGTTCTGGGAAGTTATTAAAATGCCTCTCAGAAAAGAAGCTTAAGAAAACAACCCCAAAAAGCAGAATGCAAAGCAGAGCAAATAATAGTTCCGTTTGGAGAACTATTTCCTATCAATAAAGCCAGGCCTAATTGACCCGATGGCAGACAGTGCAGCAGTGCAGAACCCCTAGCAGGACCAGGTATGTTACAAGAAAAGCTTTGTACAACAAGTCTTTTCATTTCACAGTATTCTCACAATATTGTGTGAGACAGAAACCATATTTGCCCCCTAGAAACAATAAAATGTTTTTTTTTCCCCTTTAATGATAATTGCAGCCGTTTCCTTCCTTGGTGCTGAGCTTCCCCTGCCTCCCTTGTGCAGAGGGACACGGACAGGTCTCCAAGGAGCCTCTCTGCATGGGCAGCACCAGCCCCAGCTCCTCCCTTTGGCCAAGACAGCATGGCAAAAAGACATGGGAAAAGACCCATGGAAAAAACAACCGGAGCTTGCAAGTACAGCTGTGCTAGAGCATGCCTTGCATTCTTACTCTAACGCTGCAACTTCTCCCTTCTTTTACTTGCTATAAGCAAAGGAATTGCTTGGAATAATGTCCACAACCATTATGAAGAGAAACACCTTCAGCTAAAATGGAGAAAAACTAACCAACATTTTAAAAATAGGATAACAATCAAGGAGGCACTTTAGAACTGCATTAGCTAATTTCACACTTCCATCCTATTTTTGCTGCTGAGCACATTCACCTTTCCTAGCTGCTATTCACAGCCTCAGACGAGTGAGGTAGCTGCTGGCTAGAGGCACCCAACTTTGGGGGCTGTTTGGACAGTTTATGCATTACCCTAACTGCTTAAAACCAGATCCTTTTTGAAGCAGGAACAATCAGCTGGAGTGAAAATGAAGTATTTGCTTCTTCAGCTACAACCCAAGTGCTCCCCGAGCGGGGCTCTCTGTAGTTCAAAGTGTGGGGAGGCACCTTTTTTAGCTTGGGTTTCATCGCTTTCCTGCTCTTTGTGCTGAATTTCAGCTTTCCAGTGCTACTGAGT